GGCTGGAGCTACCCAGCCATACCACTCAGCCGCCGGATTTGCTGCACAGCCCCATGGCTACTTTGACGCCTCCCCAATCTTGGAGCAGATCCATCCTTTCCCTCCTCTACCACCACACTTGACGTATGCACCTGTGTACGCGTCTAATGGAGCCCTTGCCCATATGCCATTGGGCCCAACGCACACCTCCAGTCAAGCGGACCTTAACTCACAGGTTGATCAGCTCGCACAAAGAGTCGACGATCAAAACAACCTGATTGGCTAGCTACTCAGGCAGATCAACTTGAACCAAGGCCCAAACCTTGGACCCCGTAGCAAGGAGAGGAGGACGTACGAGCATGCCAGCGAGCAGTTCGAGAGATTCCAGGCTGGTCGGGCAGGGATAAACTGGCAGGGCAGAGATCGAGATCGTGCTGATGAGACGCGAGATCGTGCTGACGAGACGCGAGATCGTGCTGACGAGACGTGGACATCTGCAAGTCGTACCCTGAGCAGGTCAACGATCAGTTCGAGGTTAGGTCCAAGGACCAATGTACGCGAGAGGCTAGGCCCACGGTCCAATGTCCACGCCCGCTTGGGCCCACAAGGAAGTATTCAGTCAAGGCTAGGTTCACAAGGAGCTCGCGTTCGTGAACAACTGCATGACGAGTGCAATGATCGACGCTCACCAGCCCGCTCGAGGACCAACACACGGCGACAAGCCACAGAGGAATCCTCACAAGCTCAAACTCCTAATCAGCCCCACGGGCAGAGCAACCAAGGGGATCGACCCTTGGCAGCAGAGGAGGAAGTTAACCAGCGGCGCTCGAGGCACCAAAGACGTTGACCCGAGCCACCAGCCCTGCGAGCAGAGGATGTCGAGAAGTTAGTGAATGACCAACTCTAAGGTCTCCAACTTAAAGGAAGCACGGAGGAGGCCCTGCGCAAGGAAATTGATCTAGTCGACTGCTCGCCCTTTACCGAGGAAGTGGAACGAGCTCCACCGCCAAAGCGGTTCACAACGCCATCCATCACTCCGTTCAAGGGAGACTCTGACCTTGAGAGCCATTTGAGGCACTTCAAGAGCGCCATGATCCTGTACAAGGTAGACGATGCCCTGATGTGTAAAGTGTTTGCAATGACTTTACGAGGAGCAGCTCAAGACTAGTTCCACACTCTGCCATCTGTTCGAGACTACCTTAGACGGTTTAAGGCTGAGAAGGCGAAGA